TGGCATGAGCACACTCATTCGGCTGTAGCTGGCGACTGACAGGCGGCTGTAGAGGCCGATCATGATGATCGCCGGCAGGTAAAAGGAGGGAAGAGTCGTCCCCATAGTAACAGCAGGGCTAACAAGTAGACGGGTGTAACACTGATCGTTAGGGACGACGCGCCCGCCCTTATCTGTCTGCCAGGACAGGATGGCGGGAGCCCAGAGAATGAAAGAAAGCAGCCAGGCGGCAGCAATCATCAGGCACGCCATCCTGCCCGTCCGCCGCACTGGGTAGGTGAGCGGTCGCGTCAGGCAAAAGTACCGATCCAGACTGATGAGCAGCAGGTTCATGACCGAGGCGCCGCTCGCCACGTAGTCGAGGACGAGCCACGCGTCACACAGCACGGGGCCCAGCAGCCAGCGGCCCTGCAGCTTGTACAGCGTGTACACGTTCATGGAGATCAGGCCGACGATCAGGTCGGCCACCGCCAGGCTCAGCAGGAAGTAGTTGTTGACCATCTGCAGGTGACGGTTCACTTTGATGGACAGGATCACCAAAGTGTTGCCGAGAACGGTGAGGATGCTGAGGGAGGTGGTAACCATGGCAACGAGGACCAGCTGAGCGGTGCTGTACGGATATGGCGGTGAGAGCGGAGGCTCACGGGAGGTGTTGACGGAGAGGCGGAGCAAAGTAGGCGTCGGGTCCATGTTTCCTAAAGTCACACACAAGAAGAATTATTGAACTGAAGCGAGATCAAAGTGAAAATAACAAAATAATAAAAGTGTTAAAACAGAAAAGTTGCTTAAATCATCACTGAAGCAGCTCGTGTGTGAAACTCAACGATTTCCTGATGTAGTGATGAAGAGCAAATCAAAGAAGCGAACATCAAACGGTCATCAATGGATGTTAATGACTTTTACTAATATAATTAAAAGGAAGAACTTTGTATACTTGCCCTGAAAATGAATCAGTGATTTCCTCTTCCTCACAGCTGTTTTACTGCAGCTCACACAGAAACGATGAAGCTAAACAGTTTATACGAAGTTCTCCTCGTGCAGGATTTTATGTTTGAAGCTTATTATAAAGATCTCGTTACATTTAATGCAAAACGTTGAAACTCCTGTGATGACATGAAAGATTTAAAAGTGCAAAAGGAGCATTCGTGTGCAAACGACAGATAAACGTGACAAACTAACGATGCGCTGCAGCTCTGATCAGATACAATCACAGCTGTGTCACACTCACATCGACATCTACCTGCTCGAGCTGCAGCTTCTGCACGTCTGTGTTATTACTTTAGTAAAAGTAAGCTGACTGAAAAACACGTCTAATCCTTCAAAATAAAAGCAGATTTCCTGGCAGAAGTTGCTGCGTTCAGAGGTTCGGTCCAGCTCATCGGGGATGTTGGAGCTGCTCGCCGCTGTCTGCCTGTCCATCAGTCCATCTGCAGCAGCTTACATGCAGCCTCCGTCCTGACGTCATCAGATGTGGGATGTAATGACACATTAGAGAAGATGAGCCCAGCTTCAGTTACCACCACACGGGTTTTAACTTCATCTTCCTCCCAGCATTACCGTGAGTGAAGACACTGCAGCAGGCACAGAGGGGCAAACGGAAACCTCCAGCGCTGTCAGAGTGCTTATTACAGTCCTAACATCGTCTCTTTTTCTCCGTGTTATCTGATTAAGCTCTGCTCTGACACAAATGTGCTGCAGTCACAGATCTCAGAGTTCCTCGACCCTCCGAGCAGCAGCCGGACTCTCAGCCAGCCTCCAAATATTTATGCAGAGCTCATTAAAGTGGACAAAAAGTTTCCTCCTCCGCCTCATAACGATATCATTTTAAACACTAATAAGGAGCTCAGTCACTCGCTGCTGCGCTCAGATCAGCTTTATTACCGTTTTCCTCCAGTGCTTAAACACATTCCTTGAAACGATGCCTCGTATTCCCCAAACAGTAAACAAATCCATAACGTCTCACACAACTTCCCAAACATCGTGTTATCAGGTTCAAATGCAGCTCTACACTCAAAACCATTCACCCTGCTGGAAAACCAAACTCTGCCACAGACAGCACACACAATAAGTCGCACACATTGAACACAAAAAATGCAACCAAGGTACAGACGTGGACACAGGTGGTTCCAGAAATAACTTTAATCTGACAAAAGTAATAATAAATAAAAATTCTATTAATCTTCACCAATGAAAGTTGGACTCTGCTTTTCAACCAAGCTTCAAATGAATCATTTAAAAAATGAAAGCATGAAACAGGCCTGGACAAAGATGATTAAAGGTGAAGGATATAAGAGCATCTCCAAGCAGCTGGATGTTCCCGTGACTACAGATCCACGGGACTGTAGCCGGCCTGCCTGACGCAGGAGGGAAAGTGAGATGGAAAATCCGAACGGTAACAAAAGAGCGCAGAGAGACTTCTAAAGAGATCTGAACTTCATGCTCAAGGAACATCAGTGCCAGATCGCACCATCCGTCGTTGTTTGAGCCAAAGTGGCGGCGTCTTCCTCGGCCTGGAGGTGCACACCGACATGAGGCTCTAAAATAACTCCTCTGAGTGACCACAGGAACGGCTCAGCACGTCTGACTCACGTGGTGAAGCAGGGGCGTAGTGGTCACAGCTCAGGGTGTGCTCTTTGGAAAGTGGTGTTATGCTTTTGAAACTTGGCTTCATAAGATCAAGAAAAACTGTAATCCCAAAGACGGCATTTTTACCGCCTACCCACACATGCTGCAGCCTGTAAACACTCATAGAAACATAGAACAGAAATATGCTTTATTGTGGAAATCCAGCAGAGTTACAGGAAGTTGGAGCGTGCAGAAATCAGCTGCATGTGAAGCTCAGTGAGCTCAAAGAACTGGAAGAACGATAAATGTCTAAAAATGATCAGAATGTCCAAATAAACGGCGTCCTTCAGTTTAGTTTAAGGACGAGCTGATGTCACCTCGCCACATCTGCTTCATATGGTCATCTCCTGCAGGAGACACGCCTACAGCAGGGGGCGCTCTGCGGTCCTCCTCGGTGAATGAGCCAGCACCAGGCAGAGCTCACCTGCAGACTCACCTGCGTGCAACATAACCTGAGGCCTCACGGCGAGGTCGCTGCTCCTCCTCAGGCCGAGGGCGGATGTGAGGCCTCAGTTTCACCTGGAGAGCTGCCCTCGTGGTTACTGCAGGACTTCATGTTTTAAAAATGAAGCTGACAGGTTGCAGATGAAGGCACTGCAGACATCAGCTGAGCTTCGAACAAAGGCTTAAATCATCGAGTCAATAAAGATGCAACAAGTCTGTGAGCAAATGAAAGCACAGATGGAGTTCTGCTGCAGACGGACATCGCTACAACAAAAATGTTTATTTCTGTAACAGTGAAAAAATGAAATCTGTCATTTGTTGTTCAGCTTTCAGTTAGGGTGGTGTAATATGGGTGGATGACGAGTCTGCTGCGTGTTTGTGATGCAGTGAAGAAACAGGAGCACAGAGGAACTCTCAAAGCTCTTTAATTACATCTAAAAGTCAAAGCAAAGAGTCACGTTAGCGCTGTACAAACTCTGACACACAGGTACCGATCACACGCTGCGCACATCCACCCCCCCACCCTGATCTCACACACACGCTAAAATGTTCACTGATCAAGTAAAAAGCCAGGAGGAGCATTCAGAGTCTCGCCTGCAGAGTAAAAGCTTCAATAAAAAGAGTCATGAATCCCACAGC